CCCCCCCCACCCCCCCGCGCACGCGCCTGTAGAAAGGAACGATTGTCCGTCGTCGGTGATCGGTCCTGTTCCTCTCGAGGACGCGTGGTCAATGGTCAATGGTCAATGGCCCAACCGCTACCACTGAGGCATGCAATCCATGATTACCCCCCCCCTCCCGCGCGCCCCACCCGCCTGCCAGGTTTACGACGGCCAAGAGGCGGAGCAAAGATCGGATCCCGAGACAAGCACAGCGGCCGGCGGCTCGTCGGCTACCAGCGTTACAGGTGTCGGGTGCAGGGCCGGCAAGAACGGCCACCGCCGCAGCCGAAGCTCCTTCGACACGAACTTCAGCAAGCCCATCGTGGGCAGGGGCAGGAGCGGGGGCGGGGAGCAGCCTCCGGCAGCGGCGGCGGCGGGAGGAGAAGGAGCCCCGCCCGCGGAGCAAGGGAGGGGAAACCCTAGCCCGGGCGAGGTCCTGACCTCTGCCTTCAAGTCGGCGTTTACCTCGTCGTCGTCGTCGAGCGCTAATCCCAGCGCCGCCGGCGGGGTGCCCCCGTCGCCGCCCCCGCCCCCCGTCGGCACCTTCTCCGGTGCGAGGGTAGGGTCCATGAGGCTGGGCGGCGGGTCCATCGCCGGGTTCGCGGCGCAGCCATGGTCGGCCAAACAACAGCAGCGGCAGCAGCAGCAGCAGCAGCAGCAGCAGCAGCAGCAGCAGCAGCCTGGCGGGGGTTTGGGGAGCAGGCCGCAGTCCTTGAGGACGGCGCCTCCGTCCCCGTCGCCGCCGCATCAGCCCGGGTGAGGGTTGTGGTAAACAACTCGTCTTGGGGTTGGTCGGCATGGAGTGAAAGCTAATCACCGCCGCCGGTGCCACTGCGCTCAAAGCAGCAACCGCAGCTTGGCTGCGCCACGTTCAGTGTACACATGTGGGGCAAGAGAGGCGTGAAAAAGTGTCCGACCCACTTGGACGAAATTGTGCTATATTAGTGATGTCACTATCCTTTGTTTATAACGCTGACTCTCATAAAAGCCGGAATCAAACCATTTTACTAGTCGGTGCTGACTAGTCTGGACGAAAGGTTTGGTTTCGGCTTCCATAGGGCGAACCGACAAATCGGCCGAACAACAACTCTTCTTCCTATCCTTGCGCGTGTGCGTCACAGGCAGCCCCCCCCTCCGCCCCCTCCCCTCTACCGGCCTCCCGCGTAGACCCTGCGTGCACGCCGCTGCGTCCACCTTCTTCATCCTAGGACGAACAGCGAGTGCGATCAATACCCCTCACCCGCCATGCATGGCATCGAAAAATCTCACACCAAAACCTTCCACCATCCAGCCCCTGATCCCCGCTATCTCTCTCTGCGCCTCTAACTGCCGACGCATGCGTTCCGCTCGCTCGCTCTTATTTTTGTTGTTGTTGCGAAATATTGTTTCAGCGCACCTGTATCCCTGGAATACTCGCACTCACTACGCGCCCAACGGCTGAGGTCGTCGCAGACCTCGCCGAAGAGAGGTGGCGTCGGTGTCGTGCCCGGCACTTCGTCTTCGTCCCTCGGCGGCGGCGGCGGCGGTGCGGGGGCCCCCGCGGGGGGGGCTTCAGCCGGGGCCGGGTCCCCGACACGACGGGGTCGAGAAATACGGAGCCTCGAGGAGGGGTACGCTAACAAGGTGTTATCTGCTCGAAAAGGCGGCGGTGGCAGCACGAGGTACGGGAGGGGGGGGGGGGGG